GTCACGTTCACGCGGACCCCACGGCCTGTCAACAAGGAGGTGGCCGAAGCTCTATGATGTGCGGAAAATGACAGAATCCAGCCTCGGGCGAGACAATCCGCGCGCCGCACACACACACAAACGCGTCGCTGTACGCGGCGGGCGACAGGAGCGCGGCACGGCAGGAGGCCGTGTGAGCGAGCGAGTGAGCGAGCGCCCCGTTTGTGGCGGTCTCTACTGGCCCGCCCGGGTTGTGTTCCACAAGCGGAGCCTGCGGTGCGGAGCGCCCCGGTCCATACACGGCGTCCAGCGTCCAGCATTCATTCTCTCTCCCTCCTCTCTCTCCCTGCCCCCCTCGGGAGGTGGTCGCTAGCGGGCAAGGGCTCCAGGTAGAAGGGTCAGGATTGTCGCTAGCGGGCATCGGAGGGAAAAGAGGGGATTGTGCGGGAGAAAAGGGAAATTGTCGCTAGCGGGCAGCGCGACGGGTTGCCTACCTCCACGGCGTTGAGGCCGCAGCGGAGTACGGCCCGGGGCGGGCTTGCCTATCGCCCCTGTCCACGGCGCCTTACGGGCCGGGCGAGTAGGCAACCCACCCGCACTCGTGCGTGCGGTACAGCCTAACTACTATATATGAAATATACCAAGTGGCTGACTCACGCCGCGCACTTCTGTAGTCATGCTGTGCCGCATGCACGACCAACTTAATTTCCTTGAAGTTAATGGAAAAACCTTAAACCAAGGTCAATAATTACCTTGTAATTTTTTTAAAGAAAAATCCTTGGTTTAGGGATACCATTTTCTGGGTGCACCTTTATCCCAACACTGGTAAAACAAGTGTGCAATATTTGCACAACAAACGTGTGCAAGTTGTGATTTAGCACATTACAGGGTGTTTAACTCAAGTTGCACACTTGCGTGGTGTGCAAATTTTAGACGTTTTGTAAACGTTTAAATTCTGCACACTTGGACACACACAGTTCTATGCTGTCAATAGGGAATCGTACGGTGTGCAGCTGCTATAAGTTTCGGAAGTGTCGAAACTTTAAACACCAATTGACGCATAACATAGTTCGACACCACCAAGTGTCGAGAAAATGCACACTTGAACTTAAACGTCAATTGTAGTGTTTTCGATCGGGCGGGTTAGCCTTCTTTTCGCCTGCCCGACGCTCGCCGCCGCGTTGCCCGACCCGACCCGACCCGACGGAGCTGCTGTCGGGTATGTCGGGCAAGCCGGACGGCGTCCGAATAATCACATCTTGACCGCGCTTCCGCACGGATTTCGCACGCAGACCCCCGCTCGGCTGGACCAGCAGGGCGAGAGGTGAGGTTGCGGGGACAGGTGACGCCTAGTGTGGCTGGGCGCGCTTCACTTCACTTCACTTTGATACCGTAGGTCTGCCGCTGGGCAAGCCAGACTCGTCTTCAGCGACGAGCTGGGAGAGTGAGGTGCGAGACAGAGACAGCTGCCGGCTCCATCTCCCGTCTCACTCTTACGCTGTGAGCGTCGGGCAAGCGCGGCATCTCTTACCCGCCCGATCGAAAACACTAGTGATAACCAAAGTTGGGGTATTCAATAGGAAAAAAAAAACCTCCACCGGACAACGAATATAAGCCAGAAAACAACATATTGTTACCTCAATTACACTTACCTTACACTTACATTCACCAATTGTTATTATAAGTGTAGCAACAATCAAAAATAACATCCGGCATGGCGATCCCCTCCAGTCACGGTTTTGTACCATTCCCAGGTGGCGAGAGCCGAGCTTGAGGAATTCGACGAACTGTGGAATCCAAAAGAGAAGAAAAATGGAATAATTATTTGACCCGAAACGGAACTAAATCGGAAACACGGATCCGCCCGGGCTACACGTGGGCCAAAACGACCGACCACCTTTCCATTTTTATGCCACATGACGCCTCTCTGCGAATCCTCTCTTTTCTTTCCTTTTTTTAACCCCCTTTCTGCTCGAGGCGTCATCGGCGCCGACGAGCGACGGGAACAAGGAGGCATCCCGCGCACAGGTCCTGGAGATCAACTGGTCTGGAACCATAACAACGAATAAACATTCAAAACAAAGCCATTACCGCTTCGTGTCCTCTTGCGACACATATCTCGTGGCGCCGGGTGGCGTGCGAAACAAGCACGTCGGGACGCATCCGAACGAGCCGGACCCCCGTGCGATACTCGCACACACACACACCCATTTGCCGAGGTGGGGGGCAGCAGGAGGGGAGGGGGGGAGGGGAGAATTTGAATGACTGGAGCTAGTGTTTTCGATCGGGCGGGTAAGAGATGCCGCGCTTGCCCGACGCTCACAGCGTAAGAGTGAGACGGGAGATGGAGCCGGCAGCTGTCTCTGTCTCGCACCTCACTCTCCCAGCTCGTCGCTGAAGACGAGTCTGGCTTGCCCAGCGGCAGACCTACGGTATCAAAGTGAAGTGAAGTGAAGCGCGCCCAGCCACACTAGGCGTCACCTGTCCCCGCAACCTCACCTCTCGCCCTGCTGGTCCAGCCGAGCGGGGGTCTGCGTGCGAAATCCGTGCGGAAGCGCGGTCAAGATGTGATTATTCGGACGCCGTCCGGCTTGCCCGACATACCCGACAGCAGCTCCGTCGGGTCGGGTCGGGTCGGGCAACGCGGCGGCGAGCGTCGGGCAGGCGAAAAGAAGGCTAACCCGCCCGATCGAAAACACTAGTCAATTGACGTGCGAAATTAAACACTTGTTTTACCAGTGAACTTCACGCAACTCTCGCTGCTCTCAGACGTTCACTTTCGCCGTTTGCCACAATGTGTGATAATGCAGGTCGACCACATTTCGTTTTATTTGACTCGCGGTTTTCCGGTGCCTCCATCTAAACGGTCGAGTTGTTGTCTTCTGTGTCGATTATGATTTTTATTTTTTACCATACCGCCATGACTTGTATTTTTTTCAAGTTCTGAAAACGCAGTCGAACGGAAATCGTAAACAAAACTCGATTAGAAAGAAACACAAAAACACACACACGAAAAAAGAAAAATCTTGACAGTGTCGGCTGCCACTACTGCTTATCACCGATGATAAGCTTATCCGCGGCTGCCAGCCCAGGTATGGCGCGGCGCGGAGCGACGCGAGTCCGTCCCGCTCGAGCCGGGACAGGTTTGCGCTCGGCATATGCTTCCGACTTGTACAAGGGCCTCCTCCTCCTCCCGCCGCACCGCGCTAGGCCCTCGGCATCGTCCTATACGCGCCATCATCCCTTCCGAACCCAACTCCGCGGCACTCGACGCGACACCTTAAACTCCTCGAGACCTTCTCTGGCGTGAGCCTGCGCTGGGCAGCGATCAGCGGGCGGGTATGCATGCAGGCGCCCAAAGTTTACCCCCCATTTGCTCTGCATCGGCCTTAGTAAATATCGATGTTATGATCGGAAGTCGTTCTTGAAGGGGCACGCAATGGGGTGTCCGTTCATTTTGATTCCAAATGGCTCAAATGAGGTCGTACTTTTATCATTAGCCTTATGGTGCGTGCGGGTTGCCTACCCGAATCTCCCGCAAGGCGCCATGTAAACTTTAGGCCCTTGTAAAATTTTTCCTAAGGGATATCAAAGGTGCTACTCCGGGCAAAAATGTTCGTAAATATGATATATATCCATGGTCCAAAGGGCATCGCGTGAGCTCGAAGTGCCACTAATTATATTGTAGCCCGCCCACTAGTAGGACCGCGCCGGCGACAGAGGGTATGTCGTGACAAGGATCACACGCGCTGCGAAAAAAAAACTTTGGTCCGCTTGGCCGCATTCAGCTTAAAGTTTTAGCTAGCTGGTGTGTTTTATAGGTACTTGGCTCAGTGCTTATGATTTCAACTTTGTGAATTTGTGAATTGTTGGCTATGTACCCAAAATCAAGTGAGCGCCCCCACCCCCCTGCTCATACTGCCTATCTACCCACCCTTCCAGCGTCGCCCCACCGTAAATGATCGCGCGCGCTTTCCTGCTCGAATGACCGCCCCAACAAGGAAAAAAGAAGACTTTGTTGTGAGGATCAACTCTGCTCTCTGTGAAAAATATCGTCGTAAATTTACAAAAGTTTTGTAAACTCGAATTCCAATGTAATTTGTAAATTTACGAGAGCAGATTTTTTTACTCGCCAATGGATTTTAAGTGGATACGTACTCCTTGTATTTTTATGATTTCAAATTTTAATTTTACATCTTGCGTCAAGGAAAATTTTCCTGTACACCTACCCACTATTTTTCACAGTGCTTGGTAGGCTGAATTCGAGCTGGAATCGGGAATCCGACAGCTATACCACATCTGCCACATCCAGGAGTTGGTTGCCACGACCGGACACTTGCACGAATAGAACAAACTCCAGCTTGGTTCCATTCGTGCAAGTGTCCGATCTTGACAACCATCTCCTGCTTCATCTGATTCTCGATTCGAGCTCGAGCTATCGAATTTAGCCTACCAAACAGAACTCATCCCCTCAACAAAGTCTTTCCCTCCATGAATGTACGTGCCTTCTTGAACTTGAACTCTGAAACTCTTGTGCTTGCAGATGAACAGCTTCGAGGAGCCTGTGCAGCTCGCTAGGGACCTCGGCCTGGGATCCGCGGGTAAGTGAGGTGGCAACAGGAAGTAAGTCTCGTCCGACGCGGACCCTCGATCCGCGTCGCATAGTCCGTCGCTCAACAGAGCACAGGAAGCTGTAACGAGCTTAACGAGCGTGTTTAATTGAAATTATTGGGCCACCCTAATCCGTATCTGCTCGAAAAGAACCATGGCATTGCGCCGGCCTCTTGCGAGGGATAGCACATAACAGAGCCTTGACATCGCGGGACCGGATCCGGAATGGAATGGGTCAGGATCGAGGACCATCATTGACGCCCGCAAGACCCTATAATATTTGTACTCTGGGGTACAAATATCATGGGATTTCTATGGACTCCGATGTTGTTCCTGATCATTTTCGGACCCTATAATATTTGTACTCTGGGGTACAAATATCATGGGATTTCTATGGACTCCGATGATGTTCTTGCTGATCATTTTGGGACCCCATAACGTGGGCACCCGCCCTCCCTCCAAGAGGCGTTATCGTATTTGAACGGCCCCTTTTGTCTTTGATCCCCAGACGATGATGCCATCTACCAGGCTGCGCGCGACGCGGTTGCCTCCCTGTTCGGTATGCCGCCCAACAAATGCCAGGGCGACCTGCAGTCGCCCGACTACCGCTCGCTCAGCCGCCTCGAGGTAAAGGAGCAATCCGCCCATTTGAATCTTTCAAAAGGATACACAATTTAAACAAAAAAGTGATACATTTTAGTGTTTTCTCCTCTTCTTTTTTTCAGACCAAGAGGGTGCGGCAGAACAGCGAGGCGTGGACCAAGTCCCTGCGGCGGCTGCCGCCGGGGTCGCAGGCCAGCAGGCCCGACACGCTGCTCCTCGCCTCCAACGGCGCCCCCAACGGCGCCCCCAACGGCGCCCCCAACGGCGCCCCCTACGGCGCCCCCAACGGCGCCCCCTACGGCGCCCCCTACGGCGCCCCCTACGGCGTGCAAGCCTGTAAGTGTCCGCTCTTGCTGTCCTCGTGCAGTTCTCTCTCCACCCTCTGCTCCTCTCGGTGCTGATATGCCTGTTGTCCGCGGACTCCCTTGCAGCGCGCCGCCGTCCCTCCTCGCCGCCCAGCCCCTCGGACGAGAGCAACCCCTCACCGGGCCTCGGCGGGGACCTCACGACCCACCACGGCGGCTCCAGCGGCAGCCTGACGGGATCCTCGTTGCGTCTCGACGACCTCCGGGAGAGCGAGCTGCAGCTCAGACGCAAAAAGGTATAGGACCCAACGGCCTTATTCACTGTCTGAAAAAAACAACAAAAAACACAGAGTAAGTTGACCAGTACTTTATTGGTCAACCCATTCCACGGTTATCCTGTACTTGCTAAATACGGTCTTTAATTACGGAGTACAAGAATGTTGAACATGGAGCCTCATTGGCACTACAGTATATACGCACGTGCATCCTGTCCCACATCCTGTACGGCAATGCTGTACTTTTTCTCTACTTTGGTACAGGATTTTACTCAGTATGTTCTTATCGATTTCACGTGGGAAACGTTTAACCACATTTATCATGGCCTCTGTTTACGAGCTGGTGTAAACATAAAGTGCAGTTGGAGGAGCACAAATAAATAATATAATGATAAACGATATAAATGATAAAAAAATGAAAGTGTAATTTGAGCACATCCCTCCTGGGGCATTGACGTATAATTTCTCAAAGAGTTGAAAGCCCTAAAGTTTCCGGAAAATTCCTAGGAAATTTCGGGAAATAAAGGAAAATTTCCGGGAAAAATTGAAAACTTCCCAGACTTTCGGAGTTTTTCGTTATTTTCCGGAAATTTTCGGGAATTTCCAACCCCATCTCCAACCCGCTTGCTTATTCTCGTCGTTTGTCTCGTCAAGGCGTTCATCGAGCGGGTGATCGAGCAGCACGAGCACCTCTCGGAGCAAAAGAGGCACAACGATATCATGCAGCTCTGCGAGCGGCTCCAAGAGACCGAGCTGGCGGCGACCAGCAGCGCCAAACCTCATCATCACAAGAGGTCAGCACGGCGGGGTGGGGCGGGCGAGGTGGTGCTGCTGCGGGGGACACCTTGGGCTCGTATAACATTGTCTCGCACTAATTGATTTAGTTTTAACAAGCTGTTCTCTGCTGGAAGCCAGGGGGGCTTTCGTGAACCGTCTTGCACCCCTCCCCTCCACTCCCCCCACCCTTTGCTTTTACGACATAATCCACCCCTCCCGCTCCCCTGATTTTCCAAGTATCTAAGTAAGACGACACATTCGCGGAAGAGGAAGACTGGGCGGATCGATGAGTTTTCCCGCAGTTCCAGGATCAAGACGAACGGCTCCCTGCCGCGCGACCGGTGCGCCGCCGACTTCTCGCCCACCTTCCCGGCCAAGGCCGCGTCCAGCTCGTCGGACGATGTCCGTCTCGTGGGCGGGGGTTGTTCGAGGAGCAGCAACGGGCGCCAGCAGGACAACGGCTGCTGCGGAGACAGCCCGCCCCTCTCCGCCCCGGGCAGCCCGCGCCGGGGCATCCGCACGGTGCTCTCCCCCAAGGAGACCTTCAGCTTCCCCCAGTGAGTACCACTAAGCGAGGGGTCCTTCACTAAAAAAAAAATGTGTACACCCTTAATAAAGATCACGAAAAAATCATAAAAAATCATGAAAAATCACCAAAAAAAATCATAAGAAATTAACGAAGAGTCAGGAAAAAATTACAAAACGCTGTCCCTAACTCAAAGCACGCACGGCGCAGCGCCTCTAGAAAAACCAAGTATCTTTGCGCGGCGCTCGAGAAACCAAGTATCGTTGCGCGACTCTAGTGAAACCACGTATCTCCATTTTTTGCTGATTTTTGAAACCTATACCATTCGATAGAGAAAATTTCCCTCCATTCAAATATATAGTTCCTAAAAAATCGTCAAAAAATGCGTTACGTGGTTTCACTAGAGTCGCGCAACGATACTTGGTTTCTCGAGCGCTGCGCAACGATACTTGATTTCTCGAGCGTCGCGCAAAGATACTTGGTTTCTCTAGAGGCGCTGCGCCGTGCGTGCTTTGAGTTAGGGACGAGCGAAAAATTCACAAAAAATCACAAAATATCAAGTGAAAATTACAAAAAATCAAGAAAAATACAAAAATCGGTGTACGCTACAATTTATAGTGGAGGACCCCTCGCCACTAACCGCACAGCGGGTGACGCGGCACGCGGCCGGCGCTGGGACCACCGCCCAGTGACTCTGAATCACTCGACTGACGCGCCCGTTTCGTTCTGCCTCAGGGAGATCACCAGCGAGGTGATCGAGAGCCGGCTCGACCTCCCGGAGACGCTGCGGCCGGCGCAGTCGGGTCACCACACGCCCAAGGCCGCGAAGCACAACGGCAAGGACCCCAAGGGCAAGGCCAGGACGGGGCCGCTCGTCACGTCCACGCCAAGAGAGCGAGGCGGCCCCAGGTTCATCTTCCCGTTGGAGGAGGGCGCGGCCAGGGCGCCGCCGATGGCGACAGCCTCTCCCGGGGCCTCGTCGCCCAGGGGGTCGCCGTCGTCGCCCCGGCGGGGCTCGGCGTCGTCACCCTGCTCAGACGACAAGGTGATGGCGCTCAGCCTGGAGCTCGAGTTCGTGCAGAAGGAGCGCCTCAAGATCATGTCGGCCATGACGGTGCTCAAGGCGCACCTCGCGGACATCGAGGCCCAGCGGGAGGAGGCGGAGCGCGACGCGTCCATGGAGCAGGCCTTCATCCGCGCCGAGCTCCAGTCCAAGGCGGACAAGGCCCGCGCGCAGAAGGCCAGGATCGCGGCGCTGCAGGAGCGCGCCGACAAGTGCCAGCGCGAGGTGGACTCGTGGCAGGAGAACCGCCACCGCCAGCAGCGCGTCTTCTGCATGTCGCTGCAGCACGCCGAGGAGGTCCTGGAGCGGCTGCGCCTGGAGCGCGACAGGGCCGCCGACGAGGACGCCCGCGCCGAGCTGCGCGACCGGCTGCTGCAGCAGGCCGACGTGGTCGAGTCGGAGAAGAAGCTGTACGAGGACCTCGAGTTCAAGTACCTCGAGGAGGAGTCGGTGTGGCTGGCGCGGCGCGAGGAGCTCAGCAAGGAGCTGGCCGAGGCGATCAAGAAGCACGACGAGTACGAGGCGCAGGTCGCCCAGCTCGAGTCGTGGGCCAGCGCGCCCGCGCCCGCCGAGCTCAACGGCAGCCTGGAGCACTACGCCGAGCAGAGGCAGGCCTACCAGCAGCGCCTGGAGGAGGTGCGTATACGCAAAGGTGGGGTGACCGCAGCGGGGCCACGTGCTCTTGCTCTGGTCTCGGGGCGGGCCGCCGTCTCCACTCAGCTGCTGGGCGGGCTGGCTTATTCAGGGCGCTGCAGGCGCGTCGGAATACGAGTTTCGCCGCACTTAACTTTAACTTAACCGCATTTAAATAAGGAGGGATGATGAACGTGTAACCGGCAACAGTTGGTGGGATCTATTCTTCTCAACTATTTCCATTCCAAAACGTTTGGTCTATACTGACCGTTTATTATTTCATTTGTTTTGAAATATAACTCTTGGGGCCGCAGGCCGCGGCTGGCGTTTCGTGGAATATTTGTCAATGTCGCTAAGTCAAGTCACCCCGAAACCACGTCTGCCATTCAAAGTTCTGCCTCTGCAGCAAGCTCTCATAGCGCCTGGTGGGTAGGCAACATCTGTGCCTGCAGTGCATGCGTGTACTGCGGGGTGGCCTATCCCGAGTCTCGCAGGCGTCGTCCTTTGCCGAATGAATCTCCGAGACGCACGGGCGTAGTTTCCGGACGAACCCTTTTCGTTCATCCTCACGGGGAAACTGAAACGACCCCGTCGCGGCCATTGCGGTTTCCCCTGTCTAACCCCCCCTTGTCTGCCCTCTACCCCACCAGGGTCAGGCCCAGCTTGACGTCCTGGACGGGCGCGTCGGGGAGCTCGTCGGCCAGGGCGCCGGCCACCTGGGCTCCACGGCGAGCCAGAGCGACGGCGCGCTG